AATTAATGAGCATCAACGTGACTTCAGAGCTAGCTCCGGAGAAAGGATTCAGCCTCACGCTAATAGATGTTCGGCCATTTCGACGCTCTGATTTTTAGTTGTTTCTGTGTGTTTGGATGTTAATCATGGAATCAGTTTGGACAAAAGGACAAGCTGTGGTTACTACCAGACCATCCAAGCAGTTTTTTTTTATCAGTAAATACAATTATATTTCTGGACTTAATTTTGCTGTTTGAATGGGGGAATTGCTGTGTTATTTAACTGCTTGGTCAAACATGTTAGTGGGGCTGCAGGCGGCTGGCTGTTCCCGTTTTCTGGGGCAGCCTGGACACGCGGACCGGCTCCGATTCCAGGCTGTAGTCATGCTGGTCATTGGTGGATCTCTGAGGGAGACCACAGAAACACATCAGCTCTTTTAGTTGATGCTGCTTCACTTTTGAGTTGCTCAACTGTATTTTTTCTCACTAATGGTTTGCTGGTAGAATGGGGGAAAATTCAATGCGTTTACCATAACACCGCTTGGTCTAATATGGGTTGGTGTGGCTGCTGGGTAAAAACAACTAAAGCTACGTTTCTGACCCAGGATAGCAGAGGCTATCGGACTTCGTTGTTCCACCGTGGTCAAGGTTCCGTGAGTCCGCCGTTGTCGACTCGGCTCACGGCGCCGTGGGGAGTCGACACAACGGCGGACTTGCGGATCTTTGACCGCGATGAACCAGCGAAGCCCGATATCCTCGGTGATTGATGACACATTGTTCTCTGCTATAATGCTAACACAGAAACACTGGAGTCGGGGGTTGTGTTCTATAGCTGATTCAGCAGACCTCCTTCTGAAACATCACCAGCTGCCCAGGGCTTAGACCGGAAGCTAGTTTCTGTTTTTCCCGCGCTGGTCAAAAACATCAGATTTTCTTTAAATTCCAGCTGTGAAAATCCAAAAACCTTTTTCATCTGACGTTTTGACACTCCTTTAAACATGATATTCAAAGGAATTTTGCCTCTGGCCAATATCTTTAACAGCCCCGGTCCATATTAGATCTCCACAGGGGACCAGCATGATTACAGCCTTGCACGGGAGCTAGTCGGCGGTTCTGCTGGGCTGCCATGGTCCTCTGAACCATTTCATAGCTTGGGTTAGCTAAGTAGCTTGGTTAATTTGTTCCAACTGCAACCGCACCACCCTCAGCTCCTCCTCTTTTCCCATTTTTTGGATTGTCTAGGCATGACAGGACATGTGGCATGGTCAAAATGGCGGTGGTGGGAACCTCCCATTTGGAATCAGAAACGTATACGGTAATTCCAGCCAATGGACATGAATTGTCCAATATATATATTGTCCAATATATATGTTTATGCACACACCATGTCACCAAACAACACATTGACTACCTGGAGACCCACATATAGACACACGTGATGCTAATTAGGTGACACACCTTGAATTAACACGTCCCTTTGGTCACATTATTTTCAGTCTTCTCTAGGAGTACCATCATTTTGGTCCGGGCCTGTTCCATGACGTTTTTTCAATGAAGCATGGTTGAAAATCAATGTCTGACTTTCATTGGTAAAATTTATAGAATTTTTATTTATTATTATTTTCGTTGGATTCAAGTTATTTCTGTGACCTTTGTGGGTTTTCCTTTCATTGACTGAAGGGTACCAACTGTTTAGTCCACGTCTGTATGTGCTGCCTTAACAAGTGAATTTCCCCAGTGTGGGATTAATAAAGTTAATTCTATTCTATTTCCCAGTCTCTATTTTCTGAAATTAAATAGCCTCACTTAGTGGTTCCCATTCCTGGTCCCAGAGGGCCGGTGTCCGGCATGTTTTACTTGTTTCTCTGCTCCAAACAAGGAAAGAAAAAGAATAATGAGGAGAGAGTGAAAAATGGAAGACAGATGCTTTTTTACAAAGAAATCTTCTGTGTGGAACTTTGTACGTTCCTTCATGTGCTTGAACATTCATGAGGTCATGTTCCCCTTCAGTTAGCCTCTAGATGAGCTAAGCTAGCATCCGCAAATGTTCATTTAAGATTAATCCAGCCAGCAATTTATGCCTGGTTCTCCTTCTGGTTCTGACCAAGACCAAGCACCCAGAAGTCGTCTTTCAGGATGGTAATTCTCAACTGGTTCTCTTCATCCATCCCAGGCCACTCCTCCTCATTGTTCAGGCCAAGTTCAGACACTTAATAGTGGCTCTAATGGCTGATCATGTCAGCCTGGATCTCAGCATTTGTGACGTCCTGGTTATGCCCAGAGTCGTGAAAAACAGGTGGCCTGCACCTGCTGCACATCCTGCCTGGTACTAAGCTCCAGAACTTTGACATTTTTTGAGAACCAGGGAAGCAGGAAGACCTCAGATGGCAATCTGATTTTGGCTCACTGTCCCCGGGACAACTTTCTGTTTTCCCTACTAATCAGCCGACTTTCCTCGGCTTCTCCTTCTAACCCGCCCCCCAACACAGCTTTATCTTTTACTTGAGTTTAAGACAAATGTA